TAGTTTTTATTTTTAACCACTTCTTTTATTTTTATTTTTCTTTATATCTTTTAGTATTAAATGTCATATTTTTGGCATATTAAAACATTTTTTCTCTTTCATTCTTATTCTCTCATCTATTCTATTTATTTCTTATTTGCTTTTATAGTAGGCAGCAAGAAGTGTAGCCTGGGGCAGACAGCACAGGGAAAACTCACCCCATAAGTGAAGAGATTAGGTCCTTTTTCTCAGCTGAACCCTCAGGTGCTTCCTAATGTTTCTCCCAGATATTTCAAGGTCAGATATTTAAAAAGCTTCATCTTTAAAGACCATAAAGACCCATAGCCTATGTACTCTCTCTAATGTAATTGTTGTCTTTATTCTTTGTTGCAAGACAAGTTATATAACTTAATGCAAAATGAAAAAATGAGGTCCTTTTAAAAATTATTAAGAATCTCAAGAAAGGGACAGCAAGGTATTAAACTAAGTCCAGGTCTCTGTGTGATCACACAATTCACATATCCACAGAGCTTGCCTTGCTTAGTTTGAAAACATTATTCACCTTCCCTCTTATTTCCATGGATGATGAAATTTCTTTTGATATCTCTCTGAGTGAAGAGTACTGGGGTGAATTCTTCCTGCCTTTCCCACTACATTTTGAGCTTTCTCTTCTCCAGGAAGGAAAGAGTGGTAGAGCTGACAATAAGAATTTACCTCCACTTGACAACATTTCATGGGGGTTAAAGTGCTAAAGGTGACTGACTGCTCTTGCCTCTTCCTTGTTTTGGATTCCTTCTGGTGGGCTCAGGGAAGTCGCCTTTCACTTACAGTTTTTATGCAGTGAACCAGATCTTTTTACTCATCGTCACCACATTTAAGGCCTATAATTTTTGCCCAACACCCTCAACTAAGCTGTTCTCAGCTTCAAGACCTGTTTGCTCGTACAGTTTATATAACTGTCCTGTATGTTGCCAGCCACTGGGCACTTGTCTAGCCCCCAAGTAAAGCTTCTATTTTTGCAGATATTTTTTATTACCATTAGAACACCTAATGTAATATGATACTTTCATATTTCCTAATGTGATACTCCCAATCTAGGTTTCTCAGTGAAGTATTATTTTGAAATATGGCCAGATGGTTTCCCAGTTGCTGCTTTTTCTCCTAATATCATTCTAAGATACTTGAATTAAAAAAAAAATCTGTGTCTGCCCACACTTATAGTTTTAAACCCCTTTAACTCTGACAGGCAGGGCGAACAATTCCGGCAGAGGCGAGTGTGAGCCGACCCCCTTTGTTTCCGACAACCTCAGGGAAGGGAAAATGTGGCTCCCGAGAAGAGGTGGTCCTGCCGACAATCTCAGTCAGGCAATGGCTTGGTTGCAGGGTCTTTTCTCGACGATATTCTCTGAGTAAGCAGACAGGACAACACCAGCAGTTTGTGTTTTTATAAAGTAAAGAAATTTCCTGTATATCATTTCCTACAATTTCAGTGTATATCCTCTGTTCAGACTCAGGGACTTTCAAGAACCTGCCCTGTGGCACGTGCCGTGGGTCTGTGCGGCGGCGGGGGGGGGGCCGGGCAGTTCCTCACGTCTCTGATGGCCATGCTGTGAGATGCCGGCGAGTCATTTCCTTCTGGTGTTAGAATCAATAATAATTGTGCTCCTTACCGGCGTCAGGTTTGTTTTTATATCATGGACACTGATTTTATCTTTGCATTGGCTGCAAAAAAAGCAAAGCTTCACAATGGGTATCACTCCTCACCAATATAAGTGGATTTAATTCTAACTTTATCTTATCTTTTTTCTTTATTTTCTCCCTTTTCTCACTTGCAACTTTTTATTTTAGATTTTATGCTGTTTGATATTGCATTTTAACATGTCACTTTAAATCGTTACTAGAATAGAGAAAGGTATGTATAAGTAAATAGAAGAATTATGAAAATACAGCATAAGATCATTTGATCTGTACACATAAATTTAAGTCACAGCGATGCGAAATCAAGTGGATATGAGATGAGGCATTGGGAATTTAAATTTTTAATCCCAAGCTCCAGCACTTGTCATTCCTGTGCCCTTGTAAATGTCTTATAAATACAGATTTCTGCTCTGAACAAAATTTAGAAATTTGCTGTGATGTTTAGAAACAATGGGAGGACCGATTTCTTTATGTGACTTACATTATAGAGCTGAGGGAATATTATTATTGTTAATCATGTCTTTGGGAGACAGACGGGCTGGTCCTCCACTCAGCACTGGCGAGTTGAAGGTTGAATCTGCCCCCATCGGTGCCCCTCACCTATGACACACACCACTGCCCACCTGCTAACGCTGTGTTGGAATCACTCATAACACAAGTGCTAGGGTTTTCTGACCTAATTAAAAATGTACAGTGACTTTCATGGAAGTACTTGCTTCTTAATTTTTAGCTCTTCTTCAAAGGTATTGTTTAAAGGCATGACAACACACTCTGATTCTAAGCACCCCAGTTACGTAATGGAGAATGTTTACCCATATTTTGTCTGAAACCACTCCTTTTCTATCAGCTGTCAATAAGAGACCATCTCTGTTCCCAGTGAAACTAAGTCATTATCATTGATGCTTCAGCTTTTCTTTCATCTTATGGGCTCCAGGGCACTTAATGATTCTGCTTCTCTCCGTCCAGAAGAGTAGTGATCTTCACTTTGATTCACTTAACATTTAAATTTTCAACTGCATAAACTGCTTAACCTGTTCAACTCCTGATAGCTTAGCTCAGCAAAGATAATTCAGGTCTATTTAAAATATAACATGCGGCCCTGGCTGGTGTGGCTCAGTGGGTTTGGTGCTGGCCTGTGAATCAAAGGGTCCCTGGTTTGATTCCCAGTCAGGGCACATGCCTGGGTTGCAGGCCAGGTCCCCAGTAGGGGGTGAGTGAGAGGCAGCCACACATTGATGTTTCTCTCCCTCTCTTTCTCATTCCCTTCTCCTCTCTAAAAATAAGTAAGTAAAATATTTAAAAATATATAACATTCAGAAAACATGACATTAGGCATCACACATATAATAGGTTCTTTCCCTCAGTAAAATCAGTCCCCACGCACTCATAGTAATTTATTGTATATTATCCAAGTTCCTACAAGGTGAATTAAGGTCCAGATTTGCTCACTTATCAGTGTCACCAGAAGGTTTAGGTGAAGACAGGAAGCTCTGGAAGGGTCAGGGAGGGCACCTCTATTTCGCCTGTGTGTGCAGGAACTCAGCCAGCTGGAGACAGCCCGGACTCCAGGTTTGCTGGAGCAGCACTATGTCAACAGCAGTTTTTAACAGACAGGTTTTACACTATTTAGTAAGCCAGAAGGACCAAATATGTAAACCCTTTTCTTCTACTAAAAGATTTCCAGCACTTTACTAGTAAATAGAGTACCTTAAGTTTATAAGAACTGAAATAAACTTTTTCTTTTTCTTTCTCTAAATAGTGATGTCTTACTTACCAGCAGTTCTTGATTATAATAGAGACCAAGTTATTAATCTTTTCTTATATGACTAGTGTTTATTTGTTTTCCTAAGAAATTTCAAAAATATTTGCCTAAACAATGGTGATCAAAATATTATTTTAAAAATATTATTGCTTCCCAAATTTGCTATTCACCTTTTGGATTTAGAACTATAAAATTATGGAATGGTAAGATGTGAGGTAAGGGGTTAAGATTGAAATTTCCTTATATGAATATACAACTGACCCAGCATCATGTATGAAAAAATCAATCATTTCCCTACTGATGTGCATTACTACATTTTTAATAAATGTTTGTATATATGGTGGTGTGTTTTGCTCTCTCTACTCTGTTCTATGTACCTATTATTTTACACAGTTTCACATTGCCTTAATTGTTATAGCTTTATAATAAGTCTTGCTATCTGGAATATAAACTTCCAACTTCTTTTTCTTCTTCAAAAAAGAATATTGCTTTGGGTTTTTTATGCCTTTGGCATTTCCAGATAAATATTAGAATCAACTTGTTGAGTTAAAAAATATTTGCTAAAATTTTTATTTGGATCATGTTGAATCTATCCGTGAATTTGAGAATTGACATTTTGACAGAATTGGGTATTCCAGTCCATGAACATGATCTATCTCTCTATTTAGTTAGGCCTTCTACATTTTTCCTAAGAATATTTTATAATTTGTTTATTTATTTACTTATTATAGTAGACCGCTCTGCCTAGTTTTAGGAATTGTATCTCTACCCCTTGTGGCTAAGGATGAGAAATGACCTTTGGAATGCGAGCCACAGGAGACAAAGCTTGTCTCTGGTAGCAAATGCTGCCTCAGTTCCTCTCCCTGCCCCCAAAGCTTGGTCGGAAGTCAATGACTGGTAAGACCCCTCACAGCGGGGGGGCAACCTAAGCCAGACTCAATCACTTGAGAGGCCTTCATGGAAGGACTTGGGGGGCTGCAACAAAGAGCAATGGACTCTCGCCCCCCCCCCCCCCCCCCCCCGCTTCAACATAGCCTGAGTCCCCATGTTCTCTGGGAGAAGCACTTCCTGATTCTAATGCCCTTAAGCCTGAATACCTGTTGGGGAGAGGTGCAGCTCCTTGCCTTGCTAGAGCGTGTCCTGGGAGAATATCTGGCATCACAAAGACTTGCTGATAAACCTGTGAAATCTGCTCTGCTAAGAGTGCTTTCATTCATATGATAAGGGTCCGAGAGGAAAAGAGTATGTCTCCCAAAGTTTCTGCAACTCTCTTCCTGACAGACACTCACTCAGACTGAAGCCCTCAGATCTCTTTGAAATGTTATCTACTGTTTGATCCTTGTCACCCTGTATTCTTGTGTATTACAACCCAATAAAAGGCTATGGAGAAAGGCACTCGAGGCCTTTTTCTCCTCGGAGGAACTGGCCACAGCCCACTCCTCCTCCCTAAACAGGTCTCATCTTGTCTCAGTCATATTCATATTCATTCACGCATGTCTGTGGCACTGGGGGGACTCGAGAGAAAAGTCGCCCCCACAACTTATTTAATTTTTTTAAAGGCCAGAGGAGAGCACCAACGCAGTTCCCCACGATCACAAATTATGCAGCCAAGTTCCCCACATTTGAGGTCACTGCAGAGGCCAGCCCATTGGACTGCAATGGGTGAGGCTCACCCTGGGAAAACCACCTTTGTGATCTCGGATCTCTTCTGCTGGGTAGGTATACATAGTTATTTTTATAAAGTTCTTGCACATTACATTTGCTTTATATTTATTGATGGGTATTTGATGGTATTTTAAATAATATTATTAAAACCGTATGTTCATTCATTGCTTGTATGTACAGACAAATTAATTTTTGTGTATTCTAGTTTCTAGTGACCTTAGTATATGCCTTTATTAATCTAATAATTATACAAAGATTCTTTTTGATTTTCTCTGTATACAATCATGTTATCTGTAAATAAGATGGCAGTTACATATCTTCCTTTTTAGTTTTTAATTCTTCTTTATCCCTGCCTCTATGCCTTGCTAAAACTTCCTTATAATGCTAAATGGGAGTGGTAATAGCAGTCAGCTTTGTCTTATTTTTGTATCAACTTTCCCTTTCACCATTAAATATGATATTTGTGGTCAGTCTTTTATAGCTACTCTATTAACTTACAGATATTCTCTTGTATTGATAATTTGCTAAATTTTTTATCATGAATAGATATTAAATTTGTCAAATGCTTTCTCTGCATCTGTGAAGATAATCACATAATTTTTCTCCTATATTCTGTTAATGTGTTGAATTACATTGATTAATTGCCTGATGTAAAACTCAAACTTTCATTCTTGGAATGAACTTAGCTTGGACATAATGTGTTATCACTTTATTTATGCTAGATTCATTTTGCTAATGTTTTATCAAGGATTTCTAATATTTTTGTTGATGAGAGAGAATGGCCTCTAACTTACTTTCTTATATGAACTTATCAGGTTTTAGTGTCATGGTTGTTTTAAATTCAAAATATGAGTTGGGAAGTATTTCCTTTCCTCATGATCTGGAAAACATTAATGAAGATTGCTGGTTTTTTTTTCATGCTTGGTAAAATTTGTTAGTTTGGGGGATTTCTTTGTGATATACTAATACTTAGGATATGTTTTCTTATTTGTTTTTATTTTTAACACAGATCTATTAGAAAATAAAGAAAGCAGAGGATTTATAACATAGCAGGTACACAATGCATCAGGTAAAGTGAGTGGAGATATCTTTAGAACTTTCTTAGAAATATATGTATATGTCTGTGTATATATATATATTTATTCATGCATCTATTATATATGCAATCTCTGAAGAATCATTGATGATTTTGATCAAGGATGTGATGTGTTCAAAGTGATCTGTTGTGTAAGATAATTTGGTGGTGGTGTGTCCAAAGAATTGGATAGGGCAGAAGTTGGAGGTAGGAAGGCCAATGGGAGGCTATTGCAATAACCCAGACATGAAGTACCAAGGACCTGGCTTTAGATAGCAAGTATATAAGTAATTAGGCAGACAGAAGGTTGGTAAAGGAAGAAGCAATAGAAAAATAGAATTTGTTGGCTGATTGAAAGTCAAGGATGAAGAAGAAAGAACAGATCTCTTTGACAAGGAATCTTGAGTCTGGGTGATAAGAAACCAAGAGAGTTAAATGGACTCTCCAAGACATGAGAGTCCTACTAATTGCACTTCCTGGCTATTGATTTTTGTCTCAGGACTTTGGTATTAGGCATGGAATTTCAGTCTCAGACCTGGACCCCTGAGATGGACAGCAGGGAAACCATGCATTTTAACCAACAACAGGTGGGCAAGACTGTGGTAGAGGCAATTTCTCTTTTAACGATCATCTTCTCTACTCTGACGACATTTAATTCTGAACTTCATAGGCAGAAATCATTATCTCCCTCACATGTCTGTGCAAAGAAAGAAAAACTGATAAAAATTTTAAATCGTGGTGGGCTAATTATAGTACCTAAGTTTGGAATTGGTAATTAAAAGCCATATAACTGAACAAACACATCAAAATGTAATTGCAAATAGGAGTGATTACACTGAAAAAAATTTATTCATCTGGAACATGGTGTTATTAGAGGAAAGAATAACAAAGTGTGATTGATTTAAGCTACACTCAATATCTAAATTAGTTTATTTGAGGCATAAATATTGACCGGTGATAAACTCATATAATATTTTGTGTTGTTCATTGTCCAGTACATTTTGATATTAGCTATTAGACATGTCATTCATCACTGCACTATATACCATATCTTTTGAGGATGTGATAACAATATATAATGTGAAAAAATGCAAAGATTTGGCTTATAAATGTTATTTGCCATTGTATAATAATGAACATTTTCTAGCTTTCTGGCCCACAGATTTAAAGGTGGTGAACCCTTCTAATTTTTCTCTACTCTTTGATAGCTACTCTCTCTTTTGTGACTTAATTTAGATTTTCAACCTACAAGACACCAAAGGTGTCCATTTCATTCTGTAGCAAGTGTTCCTGAACTAGCTTAAGTGAAAATAATAAGAGCTTCTTTTCATTCTCCAGTGCTCACCACATGCCTGGTACCCACAAAGTCACTTCATGAGTACTCATAGGTATCTGAATTTTCAGGCAAAGAAGATGAGACTTGGCAGGCCTCCATACCCTGTCCATGGTCCTCACACTGGAAGGCAGTAGAGGAAAGGTGTGTACTGGGGTTTTCTCAGCTCTAGAACCTGCATCTCACTATCATTTTTTTAAATGAGCCATACCATCCCTCTGTATGATTAGTTTTTTTAAATGAACATTTATTTTTCTCTTCTTTATGACAAGGTCGTAGGCTCCCTGAATGCAGCTCTATGCTTTATCAGCTATGGCAAGTACCAGTGTTGGCGTTGGGTGTTGGAAAGTTCTGGCCCAATCTAAAGCCTTCTGTGAATTTGGAAGTCTGACATATATCTAGGTGAATAGGCCATGACTCGTGGAGGGTGTGCATATGGGCATGAGGGGCTAAGGAGACTCTTGTGAAGGTTCTTGTCCTCTTGGAAAAGGAGGATGAAGATTTGCAAGTTTAGTCCAAGGACCATGGCAATGGGGAAACTACTTCAATATGTGAAGGGGTATGTTACTCAGATTGTTCCTTGCTGGGCACTGCTTAAGGCTGACCCGGATCCGACCTCTGTCCAGGAGGGCCTGAGGAGAGGACATTGTAACAAAGTGGGAAGCTGTATTGTCTGAACATCTGAGAAACATGGGGGCACACACAGGCAATGATGAAAGTTACAGTAGTGGCAGTTGGAATCAGTTTCCCTTCCTCATTAAGTGGGATTAGCTTGCAGTTTTAATCAGCATCAAATGTATGTGAATGCCTAATTTAAATGTCAGCTGTAAATACTTAAGTCTATTCAATTTGCTAAACATTTCACATATATTACTTCATTTATTCTTCAAATCCATCCCTAAAAAATAGATTTTTTTTCAAAGTGCTGAGGCTACTAAGGCTCAGAGTAGTGAAATAAATACCTTAAAATCTAGCAATCATCAGCTGGCAGATGACTCCGTGACTCATGGCTGCTTTATAATTCTGGAATGTAGTACAAGTGGGAGTGAGTGGGGTTTCCTCCTCCCCAGAGGGTGGAATGAAGGAGAAACCAGTTCTTGTGGATGGCAGCCGAGGTCCCAGCTGCACCCTGGTACTCTGTCCACTTTTAACCTGTGTTTTAACAGGTTGGTAACCTGTGACGGCAAGGTTGCCGTCATGCAGTTACCACTAGTCACAGGAGGGAGAAAGCTGCCAATGGGTAATAGGAGATGGCATTTGGAAGGACATGTGAAACAACCTCTGGAGGCTTGAATTATGAGGGATTTGAAAAGGGCCAGGGCTCCCCAACTTGTGTAGATGGGATTGATCTCGAGAGAATATTGTTATCATGCACTAGTGTATATTTGTGTCTGTAACCATCGATCTAATCCAGTGCCTGGTATGCTAAATGTGTTCTGGAAATTGTTGAATTGAGTGGCACTAGAAGGAGAACCAAGCTTATGACATGATCCGAAGCCTTCACCATTAGTTTCAGAGAGAAAATGGAAGCGATTTTAAATATTTTAAGTAAAGAGGAATTTAATATAGGGGATCAGGGGCTTGCATCATTGTTGGAAGAGATGAAGAAGTATTTTTTAGACTGGCCTCCTGTTCTGATTCTCAGAGCCACATGGAAGTGACCTATCGCAGGAGGTACCAGGAGCTGACACACTGGAGGTCCATGTGGAATCAAGGCCTTGATGTAACTGCTTCTTTATCTTTGATTCAAGTGCCTCTCCTGCCCAAAAAGCTTAAGAATGGACACCATAGGCCTGGTCCAGTGGCTCAGTTTGTTGGAACATCGTCCAGTGTACCAAAAGGCTGTAGCTTCCATCCCCGATCAGGGTATGTACGGGAGGCAACCAATCTGTTTCTCTCTCATATTGATGTTTCTCTCTCTCCATTTCTCTTTATACAATCAATAAACATTCTCAGGTGAGGATTGAAAAAGTAAAATAAGATAAGATAAAGTAAAATAAAAAATGGACACCATAGCGGTGATCCAGGGCTTAAGACGTCAGGTCACGAAAGGCGGCCAATGCTGCTATCGCTACACCTGTGTCTCGACACCAAGAAGCTGGTAGAAATACCTCCTGTTACAGCTATGCTGTCCAGCAGAAACAGACAGAAAGGCAGAAAGATGGTCTCTACCACACTTCTGCCCTACAACCTATCACTGTGCATTCAGCTCATGCTGCAAGGGAGTCCAGGAGTCACAGCCTGTCATTTTCCAACATCTCCAAACAGAAGGAGGTACAAATGGAGGTGGAGTCCAACCAGCTCACAGTGTAGAGTCCAAAGAGCAAAGCACTCAGCGTCTCAGGCTCAATTTCCCCATCGAACAGTGAGGGTGTTAATAATGGTATCTACCACTAAAAGTCATTGTTGGGATAAAGGGAGGTGAGAAAAAGATGTATAAGACATAATATTATATCAAATTTAGTACTGGTTATTCAGCTGTAATCTATGTCTTTAATTCAACAAGTATTTATATTGCAGGTATGGTTCTAAGCACATGGCATGGATGACTAAACAAAACAGACAAAAATCCCCTCCACAAGCAGCTTCGCCTCTAATGGGGAGAGAGGGCTGACAAAACTGAACAGCATGAACAGTTCATACAGTATTT